CAGCCTACTTTCAAAAAAAGAAAAGAGTTTTGTATAGTTTTTTTGTTACTGAAATTATTGTCAATGTCCCACTTTTTAAGCATTATGCAAAATAGGTAAAGTTGCGGTAGCTTAATGATCTTTATTGTATTCCGTTTCTGCCATCTTAAATCTCTTCCCTGACATCCGTTATCTCATTCAGCCACCACCCTAACTTTCCCCTCTCTTTTTTTTTTGTCTGTTCCTGTTATTTTATTTGCTTATTAGATTGATTTCTAGTAAAAGTATAATATATAATATAGTATAAAATATTCTTCTGTTTCTTCAGGGGACTGTCCCTAGTGAATTCAGGTATACAGGAAAGGACTCACATGAAAGCTAGAGCTAATTTATATTTTTAGGTGTGCAGAGTCAGCCAGACCTCTTAAAGGAGTTGTCTGTACATACTCATCTCTGCTTTCTCACTTATTTACTCCCCAACCCACTACAATCTGACTTCCGCGCCTCCCCACCTCCAACCCAAAGAACAGGTTTGAGCCTAGGTCGCTTGCAACCTCCTTGTGGCTAAATCTGGAGGACCAAAGTCCTCTTCTTGTTAGACTTCCTAGCATTATTTGACGCCACTGATTGCTCCCTCCTTTTTTTTTTTTAATTGAAATGGAGTTGTGTTAGCTTCAGGTGTACTACACAGTGATTTGACATGAGCATACATTGTGAAATGATCGCCACAGCGCCTAGGAACCATTGTCTCCACACAAAATTAATATGGTATCGTGAATCATATTCCTTGTGCTGTATATTACATTCCTGTGACTTCTTTATTTTCTCACTGAAGGTTTGTGCCTCTTAATCCCCTTCACCTATTTTGCCCACCCCCAACCTGCTCCCCTCTGGTAACCACCTGTTTGTTCTATCTATGAGTCTGTTTTCTTTTCTTTATTGGTTAATATATATTTTAAATTTTTTTATTGGAGTATAGTCGATTTACGATGATTTGTTAGTTTCAGGTGTATATGAGTCTGTTTTCATTTTGTTTTGTGTGTTTTGTTTTTTAGATTCCATATATAAGTGAGATCATATGGTATTTGTTGTCATCAATGGCAAGATTTCTTTCTTTTTTTTAATGGCTGAGTGGTATTCCATTGTATACAGTGCCCTCCTTAAAATACTCTCTTTCCTTGGCTTCCATTCATCCACTGTTATACGATCTTGGTTTCTTTTGCAGACATTTCTCCACTGCCTCTCTCTCTTTTTTAAAAAATTAATTAATTAATTAATTTTTGGCTGCGTTGGGTCTTTGTTGCGACGCGTGGGCTTCTCGTGGTAGCTTCTTGTTGCGGAGCACGGGCTCTAGGCACACAGGCTTCAGTAGTTGTGGCACACAGGCTCAGGAGTTGTGGCTCGCGGGCTCTAGAGTGCAGGCTCAGTAGTTGTGGCACACGGGCTTAGTTGCTCTGCAGCATGTGGGATCTTCCTGGACCAGGGCTTGAACCCGTGTCCCCTGCATTGGCAGGCAGCTTCTTAACCACTGCGCCACCAGGGAAGTCCCACTTCCTGTCTCTTGAACGTTGATATTCCTCAGAGTTCTGTTCTAGATCCAGGCTCCCAGTCTACGTCTTTTCACTGGACAGTTGCATTCACTTTCGCAGCCTGTAATTTATGTGCCGATAAGTTTTATATATTTGCATCTCCAGCCTCGTCCTCTGTCTCAAGCACCAGACTGCCTCCTGGACATCTGCACTTTGATGTCTTCCAGGCATTTCAAACTGAGTATGTCCCACACCGAACTCATCTTCCCTCCCTCTCTACCTACTTAATATTGTTGGCTTGCTTGTCTCCATGAGTGGTACAGATCTAGTAGTAATCAGAGTCAGAAATGTGAACTTTGTTTATTATTCCCTTTTACCTCCATCTCTAAACATTTATCATTCTCTTATGTTTATATTTTGAAATGTGTCTCAGACTTGTCCTTTTTTTTTTTTTTTTTTTTTTTGTGCTCTACGCGGGTCTCTCACTGTTGTGGCCTCTCCCGTTATCGGAGCACAGGCTCCGGACGCGCAGGCTCAGCGGCCATGGCTCACGGGCCCAGCCGCTCCACGGCATGTGGGATCCTCGCGGACCGGGGCATGAACCCGTGTCCCCTGCATCGGCAGGCGGACTCTCAACCACTGCACCACCAGGGAAGCCCTGTCCATTTTTTTTTATTGCAACTGATGCTGCCCTGGTCCTGGCCACTCTCATTTTTTGCCTCAGTTACTACCTCCTGAATTTCCCACAGTCTTAAGTTCTCTCAAATACATTTATCAGTTGTGTCAGTTAGGATGTTTTAATCTGGAAGTAACAGAAAACCAAAAAGTTGGCATAAACGTTGGGATATAGGTTAACCAGAAGCGTGAAGATAAGGTGATTCCAGAATGGCTCACTATCGCTTCTCGGCCTTTTGGCTAAGGTCAAGTGCAGAATGGCTCACTGCAGTGGCACACCAGTGTCGGCACTGATCCAGCGTCCTTTCTTCTCTCCTTTCTGCCCTTCTCCATGGGTCAGCACCTCCTTACTGGTCAAAATATGACTGCAGTAGCCTAGGCATCACTGTACACCGAGCCCCCGTAGAGGCAAAGGCCAGAAAGGTTCCTCTCCTGTGTCCATTTTGTAAGAGTGAGGAAAACGTTCTCAAAGCCTTCAAGCAGACTACCCGTGAAGTCTACCTGCCCAGAATTGTGAACCTTTCTCTTGCCTAAACAGGAAACCAGCAAGGGAAATGGTATTGTCTTATACCAATCAAAGTTCACTCCCTGGGGGATAACCTGGCCCACCATAAAGAATGGGACTGATGATAATTGAACTAAGTGTGGGTTCCATTAGCGAGGAAGAAGGGAGAGCAACAATTGTTGGGGAAATGACCAGCACTGTCTGTCACAGTGGCGGTCTTTCTGAACTGTAGTGTGATAATTCTGATCAAGTCACTCTTCTGCTTATAACCCTCTTTCGGAGTCTCCCTTCACTGCTAGGATAAGGCCTTCATTTCTTAATTTATTTCACAAGGCTCTACACATCCCGGCCCCTGCCTTCCTCCCTAGCCTCATTTCTTGCCAACCCATTTCTCCCCTCCCGAGCCCTGACCTTCAGTCCTACCTTTGCATGTTCTACCTTCTGCTTGAAACATTCAGTTCTTTAGTTTTCATCATAAATGTAACTTTATGATGGACCAGAGTACCTCAAATCTGTTTGAAAGCAGAGAACCATAAATCATCAATAAAAAGGAGGTAATCTGAAGCCCTAGTAAATAATATAGGCTTTCTTCATATAAATTAATGTAGACAGTGGGAGAAGGAAAAAAGACTTATTCAGGAAGTTCTTTTTTCTTTTTTGTAATCCCTATTTAGAATATCTAAAGAAAAATGTGATTCAGAAGTAAGGGAGTCTCTAAACAGTCAAGTAACTAAGATTCCCATTTTAGCATTGCGCTCTCGAGACCCTCTCTTAACAAGGACTTCCGGGACCACGCTGAGCAGCAGCATATTGCAGCCCAGCAGAAGGCGGCTTTGCAGGTGAGGAAAGTGTGGCTGACATTCTTGTCTCATTGGAGATTTCCTGGGGCTTGGAAACCAGCACTATTCTTATTTTGTATTTCAGTGGAGCAATATCAATAAAAACGTTCCACACGTAATTGCAGTTGTTTGCTGACATTCAGTCATGCCCAGAGGATTTGAAGGACCAGATACGGCAGTAATGAAAGTATCTTTCATGGTGTTGACGTGGTCATGATTGATTCTGTGCCACACCTGGCAAGGGACTGCTGCACACAGAAGAGTTTAGGGTATTTGGATGGACAGAATGATCTTGAAAAGCTGAACTGGCTAGTTTAATAGCACATATCTACTTTTTCAAACCTGTTGTGCCATTACGTCCTTTGATAGTCTTACCGGTTTATTGTTGTTTGGATTCTTTTTTTAATGGTCAGCATGTCTGTTGTGCAGGAAATGTTTAAAGACTATAGGAATGTGATAATCTATCAGTTAAAAAAATTGTTCTTATTATGATAAACAATTTTAGTATTTCATTGATTTTGGATAATTTAACTAAGATTCCTAGAAACCTTGCACTAGACACCTATGCTTTTAAACCTTAGAATCTCAGAATTGGAAGGGATATTAAAGATGATCTCACTTTAGACAACCTATGAACAGTCCTTTGTTTAGTGACAAGGGACGTCACTGGTGGTTTTCTGTTATTTATATGCCAACATTCTCTACAGAATGTTGGTATCTTAATCACCAGTAATCAGCTGTCTTTCCCCCTTCTTCCAACTGCTGCCCTTCTTTCTCACTCTCCTGCTTTACTGACCAAGAGCAGAGTACTTTGGGACCTTTGTTGCTAGTTTTCCTCCCCACTCCAAGGAACAAAGTAAGTAATTCATGTCTTCGACTCAATTATTGACTGAAGAGAATCACAGGGGAGAGAGTGGGGATGATAAATTAGTACCTGGTGCAAATTGTTAATATGAATTCTTTATGATTGTCCATCTCCTGTGTATTTAAACAAAATTAACAGCGTAAGAACTGATTTTTAAAACAAATTTGGCCTCAAGCACTCAGAAAGGATAAGTAATTTTAACGCCTTGGTTGAAGAATTGTGACTCTTTAGGAGCTGAACTGCCTTTTTTTTCTTTTTTTTTAACTCTTTCA